TAATTACACGAAATTATCACAAACAGAACATGGTTAAACTGACCACCGGCTATATGGATCGGCCGTTTATAAGGACCAAATCTTCTTCTTCAAAAAAACGAATCCTATTTTTCAAGGTATACTTTACTAAATGCTGGAGGATGTAGACACACAATCGTTTAACCGGGTCATCAAAATGATAGCCACAATAAAATGTAGCCCGCCTTCAAGAAAATTTGAGAATTCTACTCTCGTTTGTCTTACATTTGTTAAAAAAGTCCCATCTCGTTTAGAGCAAGGGTGGGCAAACTACGACCTGCCAAGCCATTTTAATCAACCAGCGAAGCCTTGCAACATTTGAAAAAAAGAAAAACTACCTAAAAAATTGGTCAGTCAGATATTATGTATTATGACCAAAAATGTCAAAGTTGACAGCCTGATATTATGACCAAAAAATAAAAGGTTCGCCAGGCAGATAATATGACAAAAAATAGGTCGTCAGCCACAAATGAAAACATCTTAACAAATTTCCCCCTCCTGCCCGCCCCGCGATCAACGGTCGAAAAATGTACATATGCGGCTCTACAAAGATCAAATATTTTTCAATGCGGCCCTTAGAGCAAAACGTTTGCCAACCCCTGGTTCAGTGAAATGACAGGACAGCATGCCTGTGATTGATTACATTGCGTTATATGACGTGTAAGATCGTACGGTAGACAACGCATGAGTGGCGTTTGAATGATGTTTTGTATGTCTGTCTGAATTGATGCAAAATGAAATAGTATTAGATGATTAATTTTTTTGGTTAGACGGTGATTGAGGATAAAAAAATTATGAATTATGAATTCTATCAGTAAGGGGCCGTCCATAAAAGATGTCGCGCTTCAAGAGGAGAAGAGCGTTTCACTTTGAAACAATCGCTTGTCAAAGCATTTTTGTCATTGTAATTATGTAAGTATTACAAATGAATTATGGGCGATATAATTCTATTCAATTTATCTAGAAATCTGAATTTTTGTTCAGCAGATGCACAATAATAATAATAATAATAATGATAATAATAATAGGAAGAAAAAAAAGAAAAAAAGTAGCGTTCTTGATCATATTAGTTTAGCAAGTTATTATGATTTGTCTATTATTAATAAATAAGCTTTTTTTCGTTCTTGAAAAACTAACAGCCGATAAATAAATATGTTGTTTTTATTTTACATAATTAACTGGTGATTGTTACACCAGTTAATTATAAGTAAATAATTGTGTGTGTATGCGTGTGTGTGTGTAATGTGTGTGTGTGAGTGTGTGTGTGTGTGCAATGTGTACACTTTATCAAAATTTTTTAATTTTTGAAATTCTTTTGTTTGTCAGAATGCGGTTCACTCTTTCGAAAACGTCCGTAGCCTTCATTTTGTTAGGCATGGAATTTTCAACGCAAATAAACTGACTAATAGTTTTTAGAAAAATTGAAGTTTTTACATCACGTTTCCATTAGGCAATCATCACCTTTTAAATATAATACATGTTCAGTGCAAACATTATGAGCTCCATTACAAAAACTGAAATGAAGAAAATTATATTAACTATTAACATTTCTCTTTCAACAGGTTTTCAAAGACGTCAACTTCCACCGGACACACTGTGTTCGAGTGAATGCGCGTGTCTCCATGCCAAGGCATTCCTGAAAGAACTTCTTAATCAGAACCTCCTACAAGCACCCACCAGTACAACCGCGCATGAAGACACAACATAATGCAACGACTTCCTGAATAAAACACACCAATCGAAACTCTTTCGAAAGTTTATTTTTTATCTTCATTATGATATTGATGAACATTTTAACAAATAGTATTTATTTATAAATATATACACGTTTGTATGTATATTTGTATAAATATGTAAATCTATAAAAATATATGAGCGTGTTTTGAATAAAATGCTAAACACAAATCATTTCAAAAATTATAACCATAACCATTTCAAGGTTGTGTAGCTTTTGATTTTGCCTTTGATTTCAAAATCATTTTAATAATATGAATTTGTTTTAAAATAAAAAAAAAGATTTTTTCCAACTTCATTTCATTGAATCAATTTAATGAATAATATATAATTTCAAATTTAAAAAGTTTCGCTAAAGTAAGGAATATAATTAACTTCTAAAAATCAGGCAACAAACTTAGTGTTTTAAATCATTTCATGGAACTAATTTTTTTATTTTGCTTTCAAAGTCATTCTTGATATACGAATTTAACTTCGTTTTTAAAAAAATACTATTCTAGCCAACCGCATTTTACGACGCGAATATCTAATTAAATTTGAGCTCCAATCAAAGTTGTGTTGCAATGTTTATGTAATAAACTATACGATGCGCTGTTAATAAAACTTACAAAGTTGAAAATATAACACCACAAAGACAATAAAATTACTCGCAGGTTGTAAAAAATGTAATACTATGTAATCCTAGCAAAGTCAAATAATAAGAAATTTATTAGTATCTTTGTACATAGATAAACAAAGTTCGTTTTATTCTAACCATATATAAGATTCTCAACTCCAATGACGACATCATTTTGCCACTTGCACGTTGAAGAGCGTTTAGATATTAATCAATTCAGCCAGTTTCAATCTATTGCTTGTTCAAAAGCGTTTAGATATTAATCAATTCAAACAATTTTGATAATTTCTCCATTGTTTGTCGAAAAGAGTTTAGATATTAATCAATTCAACAAATTTGGAGAATATCTCCATTGCTTGCCCATTGCAGGAGCGTTTAGATATTAATCAACTCATCAAATTTGAAGAATCAGTCATATAAAAAATAATGGCTTACCAAGACACTCATGCTCCGAAGAGAGAGGTTCAAAGAATGCAATTCGGCATTCTGAGTCCAGACGAAATTGTTAGTACTATTTTAATTTCTAAATCAAATTGCATACTTGTTCCAATTTATTGACGTTGTTTATTTATAATTGAAATAATTTTAATTAATATTTTTTTCAATTAATTTCAGCTGCAAATGTCCGTTACGGACAACGGTGGGATAAAGCATCCCGTAAGTACTGAAAACGGCTGTCCCAAGATAGGCGGATTGATGGATCCGCGTCAGGGCGTAGTCGACCGAACAGGCAGATGCTTGACGTGTGGGGGGAACATGGCGGAATGTCCGGGTCATTTCGGACATATTGTGCTCTCGAAACCAGTTTTCCATGCAGTATTCTTGCCGAAGATCATTAAAGTTATGAGATGTGTTTGCTTCTACTGTTCCAGATTGCTCGTTGATCCGGTAAGTTTTTGTTTCATAAAGTGGTTTTATATTATGTGATAATTTTATTAATCAAAAATTAATTCAAAATTAATTATTTTTTTATTAACTCTTCTTCTTCCAGGAACTGCCAAAAATGAAGATGATATTAAGTAAAACTAAAAGTGACTTTAATCGTAGACAAAATTTGGTGTACAACCTCTGCAAAGTTAAAACCACCTGTGAGTGTAGGAGTGGGGATGTCGAAACAGGAGAGAAAATGGAACAAGATGTGGTAAGCAACGTTAAAACAATTATTACCTTGTTGTTTGATATTTTATGAATAATTTTTAAAAAAATTTAACAGAAATGATGATAAATAAATGTTATAAATAAATTAAAAGCAGGTGGAAGGATGCGGTCGTCACCAGCCGAAAATCAGAAAGATTGGTTTGGAGTTGACGGCAGAATGGAATGTGCTTAATCACGAGAGCCAAGAAAAAAAGGTTTTTATTCATTTATTTTTCTAATAATTTCATATCACATCGAAATGCAACTTTTCACCACTTTCTTATTTTCACTACATTTTTACTTTCAAATGCAACTTTCTACAACTGGTTTTCAACTAAACAGATTGTGCTGACGGCCGAACGCGTTCTTGAGATCTTCCGGGAGATCACTGACGAGACGTGCTCGTATTTAGGAATGGACGCCAGGTACGCACGACCTGATTGGATGATTGCGACCATCTTACCAGTGCCTCCACTGCCTGTTAGACCGTCTGTCCTCAATTTCGGAGCAGCTAGGAGTCAGGTTAGCCATTTGCAAAAAACTTTAGAATCCATAATTTTCACAGCAAAATAATTTCAAAATTAAAACTCTGTAAACCTTTTGTGATTTAATTTTGGTTAAATTTACTTTAAATATAGGATGACATAACATACAAACTGGCCGACATTATAAAGATCAACAACAAATTGAAGCGCAACGAAGAGCAAGGAGCTCCCCCCCACATTTTGGATGAAAACATTAAATTGCTTCAGTATCATGTGGCTACCATGATTAACAACGAAATGCCTGGACAGCCTAAGGTTTGTTTAAACTGTTTTTTAAGTGTAAAATTATTTAGAGCATTCATTATTTATCACCATCATAGAGTATTATGATATTATTAATATAGATTATTTTCAAACCCATAACAGGCCACTCAGAGATGTGGTCGTCCGTTGAAATCCATCACAGAGCGTTTGAAGGGCAAGGAAGGTCGTGTCCGTGGTAATCTCATGGGAAAGAGAGTTGATTTTTCGGCGAGGACAGTTATTACACCAGACCCCATGTTGAAGATTGATCAAGTACGTCATTGTTATTGCTACGAACAGAAAATGTTGACTAATTTTAATACAATATACGTAATTTTATAAATTTCATCTAAATTTAATTTAAAAATTAATTGTCTTCAACAGGTTGGCGTTCCTATGACAATTGCCAAAAACCTCACCTATCCAGAGCTGGTCACCCCCTTCAACATCGATAGGTTGACTCAACTGGTGCACAGAGGGCCCAACAATTACCCTGGTGCCAGGTACATAATCAAGCAAAATAATGCTCGCATTGATCTAAGATATCATCGTAAATTATCTGATCTACATCTTCAAATTGGGGAAACGGTTGAGCGTCAAATGCTAGACGACGATTACGTGATCTTCAATCGTCAGCCCACATTGCACAAGATGTCTATGATGTGTCACAAGGTCAAAGTATTGCCTTATTCCACATTTAGGCTAAA